GGGGGGGGGGGCACGAGATTTCTGGGGGGGGGGCAGGCCCCCCAGGACCCTCCTAGCTACGCCTATGGTCGGAGCACATGGCCTCTCCAAGAATCGATACATTTCCATAGGTTTAAATGGAGAAAACAATGTTGCCACTTTGCTGGGTCCGCCAATGTTCCTATCCCTTCGAGTAAAGTTTCCTGGGGGTTCGAACCTGATGTAAATCCGAAGTTGGTTCCGCCGTGGATCATGTAAATACTGAGCGACGCGTTCCGTTTCAGGATGTCTATCATGGTTTTCACGACTGCTCCTGTCGCCTCCCCACCGAAATGTTCTGTCCAGTGCGTCAACCACCCCGAGTAGCATTCCGAGTTGACCAACGGTCCTCCTTTGTTTCGGTAGCTCATGAAGTCGAAGATAGCATCTACGTCATCTGCGGAGAGTCGATGCAGAAGGTTAAAGGTTGCACATCAGGAGGACGAAAAATCAAATAGACGATGAAAAAGAAAGGTCACGAATGAGTCTATCATACACGAAAGACGCAGCCAATGGGTCAGTTGAGCCGGTCTCAGGACTTTGTTTCGATGCTAGATTCTTGTATTAGCTAAAATAATGATCTGCCCACACTGAAAAAAAAAAATCTCGGTGTATTTACTAAGAAAAAAGGTAAAATTGCCAATAATTCAGGGTTCTATTTGATCCCAGTTTTTTCTTGGTAAAATTTCCAATTATGGAATTGGTAATTTTACCGAGAAATCTCGGTAAAATTATTGAACTTTCTTGGTAATTTTACTAGATCTTGGTAAAAACGCCAATTTCTTTATCGACTGTGGTAGAATTACCGAGATAAAATGGCAAATAAGTTACCGGGAATTGATTACCAATAAAAGTGGTATTCTTACCTGAAAAAACAGTAAAAATACCGGTTTTTAGGTAAGCTTATCAGTCTGTCTTAGTAAAATTACCAATAATTGGTGAAATAAGTGAGATGCTAAAGGTACCAACGGACCTTGGTAAAAACGCCGAGAATTTTTTTTCAGTGCAAACAGCAACTTCCTTCGCACAATATTAACCGAGATATCGCGCCAACCAATTGGTCAGTTGCGTTGGTCTCAGCATCTTGTTTTGATGCTTGATCCTTGTAGTTCAGTTAAAAATAATAAGATCTGCCGAAACAGAAACTCCTGCGACTCACTACGTTCAGTATTAACCGACATGTCGCGCTTTGGATTCTCCAGAAAAAGACGGTTTTCCAGGTAATCGATCCCGAAGACTCTGAATTTCATGGTCCCTAAGCTCCGCTACCCGCTCTTTTGGGAAGAAACCGTCTTTTTCTGGAGAATCGACGTCAATTTTGCGACCAAAGAAGAATCTTGAGAAAATTTTGGAGGGGGCGAAGCCTCCCTCCTCAGGGGGTTACTTTCTGTCGTTCAGGGGGTCAATAGAACTCTTGGGGGTCACTTAAGATGCAAATGTGTTCTGCTCCTCAATTTGGATGCAATCAATTTGCGATTTGGAAAGGTGCCCCGATTTTTAAAATTGGTCCCCCCGTTTACCCCCTAAGGGAGGATGGAGGAGCTTCAGGACCATGAAATTTGGATTTCTCGGGGTCGATTACCTCGGAAACCACCTTTTTCTGGAGAATCTACGTCAATTTTGAGATCAAAGAGAAATTATGGAGGGGGGTACTGTCCCCCTCTTTAGGGGGTCATTTTTGGGCCGATTATGGATTTTTAGGGGTCAATTTCACGTGAAATTTTCCGTGCTTCTCAATTCTGATGCGATTGATCCGCAATTCGGTCGGGAACCGTGACTTTTAGCATCGTGACCCCCCCCCCCTTTATCCCCTAAGGGGGGTGGGGGAGGGTTTCCGGACCACGAAATTCGGATTCCTTGGGGTCAATTCTCTATTCAACCCCGCGGTCCCCGACTTCGTACGACCTGAAACAACCGAGAAAAAGGCCTGGTACGGGTGGTCTGAAACACCCTGTATAGTAATTCCTACGTTTGTCGTCTTTCAGTGATACAAGAGAAAGCACCTTTAATTAGTCGAGTTAAGAGGGAAACCAAACACGCAATTTGGCCTGGAACGGCGCGACACACCTAGAGAGAAATGATGACGAGGACTTGAGATGAAAAGGAGAAGCCCTCGGCGCGGCGCGATCGGCATGTAACACATATCAGCGCCTACAAGACTGTTTGAAAACTTCACGCATTGCATCAAACACAGTGCGGTCATGGCTGACAGCGTGAAACGGATAGCGCCTACAAGAATGCGCGAGCACTTCACGCATTGCGGCAAACACAGTGCGATCAGCGTGAGATGCATAGCACCTTCAAGACTGCGTGAATACTTCACGCATTGTATCAAACACAGTGCGGTCTGCGAGGCGCGGCGGCGGAAGTTAGAATCATTAATCCACATTTATGTTTGTTCTTTCATAATTTGTTCGTTCATTTCTTATGAATGAAAGGCCTTGTCCACACAGAGATAGGTTTACGAAACTTAATTTTCGCGCAAAGTTCCGTGAACTTCTGCTAGTAGTGTTGACAGGGCTTTCCCAAAAAATGTGTTCAACACCAGTAAACGTGTCACTCCTCCCCCGCTGGCACGTTCATTTGATGATTTTAATTGATGTTTCAAAACGAATGAGAAGGGGCTAGTCAGTCCATCATTTCTCCCCTTAGTCTATAGCAACCACCCGTTTCGACCAAAATGATCGCTCCATACCCCCTATGTCTACTTTGTCTATCGCTATGTTTATTGATTTTAAAATCAGTCCCCTGCGAAATCATTATTAGAATAGATAGATGAACCATACACTAGGCATGTTCCGATTATCGATTCATAATAATTCATCGAGCGCATAATAATCGGTTACAGTAATCGATTTACAGTTATCCCATTAATTGTCTATTCGATTGTTAGTTTAAGATTAATCATCACCTTGAGGTTATGTTGAAGAACGTGTCCTAGCTCCAAATAATGATTCAAACGAGTTTAGTTGTCAAATTAGCCATTTTTAGCACTTTTCGAAAAAGCTATTAACTGTCGCTTATCGATTATAATCGATTAATCGATTGTCAATTAGCGATTAATCGATTAAGTGTCGACTATCGATTAATCGATTATTCCACTGTCGAATTATCTCTTGACCGATTAGCTACATGTTTTGATTACCGATTACCAATTATCGATCAATCGATTATTTTAATAATTGAATACGCCTACGATACATAAAGAGGACAAAGGGAAAATGTAGCGACCCTGTTGGTGGAAGCGCGCAGGTGGTTGCGATGTAAAAAGAGACAAGTAACGAACGGGAACTTACGTGGGACTTTATTGTTAGTCCATCATTTTCCTCCTTAGTCTGTAACAATCATCCGTTTCAACCAATGGGATCGCTTCATTTTCCCTATGTCTTCTTTGTCTACCAATTCAAATAATCAGTATGTGGGTAGAGCTATCCAATTACCTTACCGTCCAGGTATGAAAGCCGCCAATTCCAAGTTTTTGGTGATAAAGACAAACTTAAGCGGGCTGATTATTGAAATTGATAAACAAAGCTACAAACAAAAAGACAACGGGAATATGAGGCGTTTATATGAGTGGAAGCGGGTGGGTAAAATGGACAAATGAATTGAGTAATAGACTAATCAACGGCAATTCAAGAGGGATGGTATAGTCAGTTCATCATTTTCTCCCTTGGTCTACTACAATCACCCATTTCAACCAATGGGATCGCTCTTTTTTCCCTATGTCTTCTTTGTCTATAGCTTTGTCTATAGATTTCAATAATCAGCCCGCTTACCCGCGAAGTTACTCATCTATATTATCAATGCAACTTGTCCAGGTAGCTTTGTTACTCCTATAAGTTCAAGCATGTCCGCCTATGCGTGTAGCAGAATTAGTGTCATTATGTACATCTCTGGAGACTTAAACGCGGGGAGTAAGAAAGTAAGCGACGATTTCAAAATTGCAATAATTACTTCAGACTAAAATTGATGATTTTAAGCCAAAAAATGTGTGGTGATTTTTGGAAATTGTTAAGAATTTACGGCTCATAATGACGTTTCATTAAAATATTTCAGAGAGAATGAAATATGTTTACTTTTTGACAGTCATTCAAAAGTTCAATTGTTTTCCGAGATTTTTGATGACGATTCCTTTTTAAGACAGCTACCTACCAATTTTTGATAATTTTGAAGGTGCCAAGATATCACTCTAAGCCACTTCTGCCATCTTGGAGCTTTGAAATTCAAAACTTTGACTGAAAATTCGACCTCTACGTGAAAGACATCCACTGCCACCAAGTCTCACAAAAATGAATCAAGCAGGCTCCGAGATAGCATTTTAGGCCGCATCCGGTATAATGGATTTTTAAATTATGAACATTTGAATTGGAATTCAAGGTTTCCGTCAAAAAATGCCACCTAGTACGGAGTTTCAAGAAACGTCCAGGAGTGTATTGACGGCGGCAATCGTGATCTTCTGCCATCAAGTCGAGGCGAAACTCTTGAAGGCGCTCTGAGCAACTATACCACCTCGGAAGTATTGCACAGTATCAGACGAAATTGAAGGCGCACTAACGTAGGCAAATTGACTGGTAGCGTTTATCGTACGATCTTCAACTCCTGTTCGCTCGATTTCTTTAAAACTCGGTGCCAGGTGGCATTTTTGACGGAAAACCTGAATTCTAGCGGGTNGCACAAAATTAGCACAAAATTATGGCATTCTTTTTTTTCGAAAATTCGAAAGTGGGGGGGCTACCGTTTCTACAGCCCCCCCAATTTTGAGGAGCGTTTCCCCCCTTAATTTTGCAGCACAAAATTTTTAATTTGCGGCACAAAATAGCACAAAATTAGCACAAAATTATGATATAATTTTTGGTTTAAGATTCGAATGTGGGGGGGCTGTGGAAATGGAGCCAATTCTAGCTCAAATTTTAATAATTCAAAAATTCAAGATGGTGGATGTGGTCTAAAATGCTACTCGGCACCTGATTGTTTCTTCTTTGTGAGACTTGGTGGCAATAGATGTTTTTCACGTGAGGTCGAATTTTCATTCAAAATTTTAAAATTCAAAAGTCGGAGATAGCAGATGTGGCCGAGAATGCTATCTTGGTGCCTTCGAAATTATCCGACTTTTCAATCGAGGTGTGTATCCTTTTTAAGTTCAGTTTCAAATCGATGTACTATCAGCTAACTTAAACCTCGATGTCGGCTCGCTCTTCAACCGTTATGAAATGAATCTGTTTGTTTTGTTTGTTTGTTTGTTTTTTTTTTTAAATTATTCATGTATTTATTTCTTATTCCATTTCCAACAGGAGTCTCATATCGCACGACCTATAGGACCCTACAAATGCCAGTGAATTTACATAAGTTAGTGCGCCTTCAACTCCGTCTGATACTGTGCAATACTTCCGAGGTGGTATAGTTGCTCAGAGCGCCTTCAAGAGTACCGCCTCGACTTGATGGCGGAAGATCACGATTGCCGCTGAGATTACACCCTAACTCGTGCGCAGTAGTTACACATTTTTTCATCACTAATGGTGAGATAAAAAATATCTACACCTCAATTCACGACGTTGCAACTTTTCCTCTGCCTATTTTGAATGAGTAAACGAATATGAACACTTTAAAATCTGCCGTGATTTTTCCGAGACGTGACAAAATTCATTATTTGATTATGCTGCTTGCGAGCTGACAATAACAGTAATTGTCATTTTGTACGTTTCGGTGTCTTATTACCTCTTCGGGCCCATTTACGTCCAGAGTTATAACATTTCGGGTCTGTTTTTGTTTGTTCGAGGATTCCTACCTACCACTTCTTATTCTCCCGTTTAATTTAAGCATAATCTTTAGACATTAGACTGAAATGAAACATTCAAATTCAACAGTCATTGTTATTATCAGCTTGCTAGCAGCACATTCAAATAATGCTTTTTGTCATATCTCGGAAAAATTACGGCAGATTTTAAGTGTTCATGTTCGTTTACCCGTTCAAAGTAAGCAGTGGAAAAGTTGCAAATTGAGTTATGGATGTATTTCATCTCTCCGTCGATGATGAGAAAATGTGTAAATCCACACGTTCTGGGGTGTAATGTCGGCGGCAGTCGTGATCTTCTGCCATCAAGTCGAGGGAATACTCTTAAAGGCGCTCCGAGCAACTATTCCACCTCGGAAGTATTGCACAGTGTCAGACGAAATTGAAGGCGCACTAACGTAGGCAAATTGACTGGTAGCGTTTGTCGTACGATCTGCAACTCCTGTTCGCTCGATTTCTTTAAAACTCGGTGCCAGGTGGCATTTTTAGACGGAAAACCTAAATTTCAACTCAGATTTTCATTATTCAAAAATTCAAGATGGTGGATGTGATCTAAAATGCTATCTCGGCACCTTTTCTGTTCATTTTGGGGAGACTTGGTGGTAATGGATATTTTTCACGTAGAGGTTGAATTTTCATTCAAAATTTTAAAATTTAAAAATCCAAGATGGCGTATGGGCGGCAAAATACTAGCGGCCCACTGGCGGCAAGTAGGTAAATCCGGCCCTGAAAGTTTTGATAAGATTTCGACCAATTCTACAGCTCCAAGTTGACCGCGGCAACCTGCTTATTCCAATCGTTTTACAACCATGAAGAATGGTTTGAATGCTGATCAACTGGTAGGCTAAGAATCAAAGACGAGGCGTACATTGCGATATATCGATTGATCTGCCATTTAAACCTGCGGAAAATGATCGATGTACAGGGTGTTAGCAACAAACACCTTAATAATCGATTCTTTACCATAGGTTTAAATGGCACAACAATTGATTTATGCAATTCACGCCACTGTTTAAGAATCAAAGGCGAGGCGTACATTGCGATATATCGATTGATCTACCATTTAAACCTGCGGAAAATGATCGATGGGCAGGGTGTTAGCAACGCACCCTTTAATAATTGATTGTCTACCATAGCGTCAAATGGGGAATTATCGAGAATCGAACTTACTTCCGGCGCCGAAATCGACTGTGGCCAGGGCGCCTGGAGCGGGGCCGCACTTGAAGGCGCTGTCACTCGCTGGATCCGTCGTGTACAAGACGGCATTTTTACCCACATAACTCGACATCTTCTCCGACAACCATCGTAAATATCCCTGGTCGCATTGGAAGTAATTCCCGTACTCATTCTCGACCTGTTAAATTAGATTTTGGAACTTAGACTTTTGCCAAAAAACACACGGTTCACATGCAGTGGGAATTTTTCAAGCTGGCAACGCTATTTTTCCTCCATTTAAATGTATGTAAAATAATCGATTTTTGCAGTGGCTAGGCGTGAATGATAGATTATCGATATTTCCTCATTTGAAGCTGTGGTAAATAATCGATTATTAGGTGCTCGTTGCGAACATCCCGTCTATCGATCCTTTTCCATACGTTTAGGTGGCAATCGATTCATCGCAAAGCACGCAACGCCGCTGAATTCTTGGTGAGGCACGTTGCCTAAAATCGATATTTTTATTGGATTTAAATGGAGTGTTAACGCAGTGTTGCCAACTTGCTAATCTACTCTGTTCACATGATAAGAGAATAGTCAAGTGAAATGGATTTTCAATGAATTTATTATAGAAATATTGTCCATACGTAACAATTGAAAATTTAATTTTCGGGAAATTCTCAAGATTACTTTTTACATCTCTCTTTTCACCCTCTCATTTCCGCAAAAAATGCGAATGCATACGACTGCTCGAGGGGAGAGGGACCGTAATTTCCTAGGAAAACTTTAGTCGATTGACTTAAGTCGACTGATAAATTGACATTTAGAGTGGCTATTTGTCTCCAATATCTACTCTGAATTGAAAATTTGAAACCAGTGGCGATTATTGGAAGTTGGCAACAGTGTTTTTCCTCCATTTAATTGTATGTAAAACAATCGAATCTTGGTGAAGCAGCTTGACGCACCTGAAATCGATATTTTTAATGGATTTCAAAGGAGGAAAAAAACCGTTGCCAACTTTTAAGAATCGCCACTGCATCAAACCATTATAATTCCGAACTGGTTTGAAATTTTTAAAGATTTTTCGTCCGAACTTATGGGACTCGTCGAGTTTTTTTTTTTTACCACGGTTCTCTTTTTATGGTCGATCACAAAGAAAAACCAAACAAACTTATTTAAAAATGTTTTAAAAACAGAGTGTACTCTTGGTACAAGGTATTAAGGAAGAGGCCGTGTGTTCGTTGACAAATAAAGACGATATAAAAAAAGCGACTATGGAATTTCAAATCGTCACAAATTTTGTTTACACATTGTAAGTATGCAGAAGTTACCTGGACCATGAAAATAGGGCCTCCTTTGCCGTAGAGTAAAGGTGTAATTTTCTCAAATAGAACCCGGAACCACCTGTCCACGAAACTCAGAAAAGCTGTGCAAAAGGAAATAGCAGGTAGTATCAAGAATGAGATCTTATCACCAAAATGAAAAACCGAATCAAATGACCTAAAATGCAACCTTAAATTTGAAAAATGCATTGTTCAAAAAAAAAAAAAAAAAAAAAAAAAAAAAAAAAAAAAAAAAAAAAAAAAAAAAAAAAAATGATGCCTTGATCAAGAAACCACGTATCTCCGTTTGCGACATTGTAGGCTTTCAGTTATACTTTATTTTTTCCTCCGAAAACTAGTCAACGTAATTTCTCAAAAACTCTCTTGATTTTTTGTCTTCGTCAGTAGAATTTTCTGTATAAATTTCATGCTATTAAATTGACTTGCTTCTCCTCGAAAAATTAAACAAACGAGGAGCAGAGATTCTGAAATACCGTAATTGAGATACGTAGTGTCGCTTTTTAGCCATATTCTTTACTAAGAGGGGCAACATTCTCGCAAGGAAGTGGAAAAAAATTGTGATAAAATTGCATCTTCTCGTTTGTGAGAGCTACTTTTGGGGTGAAAAGCAATTTTTTTCGTCCTCTCTTTCTCTCATTCTTATTTATTTATTTATTTATTTATTTATTTATTTATTTATCTATTTATTTATTTATTTATTTATTCAGCCATTTATTTATCCATATATTTATTTTTATTTATTCATTTATCTTTACGTAAAGGCCTCATCAAACTCTTTTATTTATTGACAGATCATATTATGACAGGTAACCCTGTCCCACCCAGGGACCTTCCAGGCAAAGTATCACAAGCGCCATGCGACGTTTAAAAATTTCCGCCGCCATTTTATTTCTTTACTGAGAAATTGTTGGTTGAATCTGTTTGGAAATTTCACTAAATTTTACCAGCAGCACAAAGAAAATTCAGTGAAATTTTCGGACAGCTTCGTTGAACAATTTCTCTGTAAAAAAATAAAATGGCGGCGGAAATTTTTAAACGTCGCATGGCGCTTGTGATACTTTGCCTGGAAGGTGACGAGGTGTTGATAATTTTCTTATACTCACGGGGGTCCGCGGTACGAAGCTGCATGTCTGGATTCCCAGTCAACATCCATGCCGGAAGACCACCCTGGGAGGACATTGAATACAAGATAATTTCAAAATGATGCGGTATGTACTGAAAACCTTTCTTGGAAAGAAGGGAAACCAAGAAAATCTCCAATTTCGATCTGTACCGTTTTTCTCTTTTTGCAAGTCAACGCAAATCCTCATCAGTCCCAAAGTTGACAAGTTTTCCAGAATTTATTATCTTTTATCTTTCGTTTGTAAAAAAGATTTCCTATCAACTGAATCACTAAATACAAAAAGGGCACATGTCCAGAAAACCAAATTGTTCAGGAGACACAAAAAGCTGTTTATTTAGTGGTAGATATTTTTTGGAAAGTCGTTATGTTTAAAAATACCGGCGCAAATCTACCAAAAAATATCTACCACGAAATAAACAGTTTTTTGTGTCTCCTGAACAATTTGGTTTTCTGGGCATGTGCCCTTTTTGTATTTAGTGTTTCAAATATGAGTAGGCCTGAGTACTTCGAATGAATGGAATTAAAAAGAAATTTCGGAAAATGTCCTCACTATACCATTACATCGCCGAATCATACGTATATCAAATTGAACAGAGACTGGAAGTGTACGAACACAGTGAGCCACCTTTTTTCAGTTAGCTGTTAATCAGTGTTAAAATCACTTTTTTTTTCAAAATTTTAAGTTTGGTTGCATACTTTATGCTTGAAAGTTTCTAAAATTCCAGTTTTTTTTTTTTTAAGTTTCTGAATTTTTTAATTTTTCTGAAAAATGGACCACTGTTCCCCAATCGAACTTTCAAACATGCCCACAACAAATGAATAAGTGAATAATTGATAAAGCAATCAGTTTATCATCATAAATCCGTGAAGTTTCGATATTCGATAAGCCTTCTTTTTTTCGTCTCAATTGTATGCCAGAAAAATTAGTAACTATAATGCAATTATAAATTAAATCGAGTAATGTGCCCTATGAGAGCCAATGCTGAAAATTTGCCGGCAGGGGGGGCAGAGGGGTGGGCGTGTTGGACTCTTGCGCAAAAATAATTTCAAAGGAAGGTTCTCTATCCGGAAGTTTTGAAAACCGGGTTTTCATTGCCTATCCATTTTGGAATTTCGGAAAGAAGTAATAAAGGAGCCCCGAGCCACCCTGGGCTATTGGACTATTTTTTGCACTTCTTATAAATTTTTATTTTCTTCTCATTTTACAAAGAAAAAAATAATTTGACAGCATCCACTTAAATCAGCCCAATTTTTTTTTTTTTTTTTTTTTTTTTTTTTTTTTTTTTTTTTTTTAAGAGAGAACTGACTATAAGTCTGATTTAAGCTTTGACTATGTAATTGAGAAATGAGCAATTCTACAAAAAGCGTCCAATTCCAGTCATGACCGTTTTATTTGTAAGATGCGTGATGAAAAATCTCACATTTCACCCATTTTTATGGAAAGTGAGTGTTTTAAACTAATTATCACAGTTGAAATTGTGTGAGTGGATGAGATAAAAACACAAGATTTCATACATTATTGTCACGAATGCAACTTGAGAAGGCGTCAAGTAATTTAGAATGCAGGTTAGGGCCCTTGAGTTGATGTTAGTGCATGAGTGATGAATCTATGCCAAAGAAGAGGGTCGTAAATTCAAACAACACATTTATACTAAAATTTCAAAGGAAATCGACAAAGCCAACGTGTATGAAGGCTATTTCAATTGTAAACTTCCGTCGCATTCCTAAGGCGCAATGATACAACTATTTGAACTCCCCGGAATGCGTGAGGTATCACGCCTTATTTGAAGGCGTTTTCAAAACAGCCAAGTTCCGATACCCGGATTATCGTTTTGCATAGTTCATATTCTTTTGTTAAATTCCATACCACTTATTTATTTTTAATCCTCGTATAAAAACCATCCATTTGCTAAATACAATTCTAGCTGGAGCGCACTTCACCTATGCATTCATGACTGCAAAAATGTTAACGGAGATCGAAAAGGCCAGCGTGCATGAAGGCTGTTTCAATTGTAATCTTCCGTCACATTTCTAAGGCGCAATGATACAACTATTTGAATTCTCCGGAATGCGTGAGGTATCACGGCGCATTTGAAGGCGTTTTAAAAACAGCCAAGTTCCGATATCCAGATAATCGTTTTGCATAGTTCATATTCTTTTGTTTCCATTTCTAACCATATATTTATTTGTAATCCTCCTATAAAAATTACCCATTTGCTATGCACACTTCTAGCTGGAGCGCACTTAAGCTATGCATTCATGACTGCAAAAATGTTAACGGAAAACGGAAATCGAAAAGGCCAGCGAGCGTGCATGGAGCGCTGGAGTGCACTTCAACTATGCATTTACGACTGCTAAAAATACATACAGTAGTGCAATGATATGAACCTAGAAAAATCAAAATACAATTACATATGATAAAGAGATCAGGAAAGTAGTGATCATTGTCAGTTTTATTTGCGACGTCTCTGTTTTGCGCTCCTGTAAAAAAAGAGCGTCATTTCAAATTTGGCGCCTTGTTTTCGTATTTAAAGCGGGAATCTCAGAATCCCTCCTCCAAAGGGGACATATTTTGAGGTTATGTTAACTTGATAACGCTCATTATATTACTCGCGCGATTATTCTCAGCTAATTCTCCATATTACGCATTTATCTTGTGAAATGGCCATCAAGAATTTTCAGCCCCAAAGTAGAGGTTCTTGTCCCAGAATTTCCCCACCGAATTTGCGTTTGCCGGCCCCTTATCAGTGATTCAGTGAAGCTTTTAGCATGACATTCAATTGGCAGTGTTTTCTCAATTGAATTTTAATTTTTGTGATGATTGTATTCCAGCTGATATTCTAAAACAGTAGTAAGTTAATTCCATCTCTTTCACTAAATCCTATCCTAGCATCTTGCATTCTTGGCAAGTGCAAGACCCGCGTCTCTCAGTGACTAGTTGCGCTGTATAGCAAGACGCTAAATCTATCAACATATACTTCTTAGGCGAAAAAGCATTAACCTGGAGATCCTGTTCTGCATGATTCATCCAGTGTACATTAGTTGCTTATTTTTTCTCACCATTTAACGCTAGTATGTACTAATCCCCCAAATAGATCAATTCGATAGTGGTGCGATGTATCGTTTGGTTCAAAACAATAGAACATAACCTTAAACAAAAATTTTAGGATTTAAGTAGGAAAAGGTGAAAATGAGAAAATTTCTAACGATAGACACATTTAGTGGTGACACCATGGAACAACACTGTTGTCTCGATAACTCAAAAATTGAAACTTGCCCCAACAAGCAAACTTAACCTCCAAGATGAACAATCGACAAAAGAATGCAATGATTAGCCTGAAACCAAACAATCAATCCATGGGATTTTAAAATTATAAAAGCTAGTCATTTACGAAAACGTTTGAAATCACATTCACAAGAATCGAATACATAACTAGCTCGTACCATCATTCATAGTCATCCAGCAAATCCTCCCTATTTCACCTCTATGTGTTTCCTAAAATCTGTCTCCGCAATCACAAAGAGCTCTTTAAAACGGGGCATTAATGCTTATGTGGATTTTTGCCAATCGAAACTACTTAAGAGGTGTCTCTACTTTCTGATGAACATAAACCTTGAATAGACTATCAAAAGACATTATTTTGATCCTCTGTCCGCATTTTATGTTGTTCAAAAAGTCGGATCAAAATTAGAGCTGCCTCCCAATTTTGATCGGCAACAATAGAAAGCCAAGTGATGACTTATTTTCATTGTGCAAATAGCGCTCTAAAGTCGGTTTAACCTCCCATTTTTGCAAGAATTTCATCTGGCGTCAACATCATCTGGCTATAGGATTATGATCATTTTATTGTAAAATTAAATAAGCTTAATGCCTTTCAATATAATGAGAATTAATCTTATGTCAGCGGGAAAATTTTTCAAAAGTTCCAATAAACGTAACCATTTTTGTCTTTTAAAATGTATTGAAATTTTTGTCTTTTTCTGCGCAGTGTAAATGCTGATGGAACCAATCTTTTCCTAAGGATGGTTGTGGCTGAAGAATTCCTGTTTTAGCGAAATAATTAACACCCCTCTTTATCGCCTGTACCCACTGGTGAGTTTTTTAATTCTTTAATTCCTTTCAAATTAAATGCAGAAGCAGAGGATAGGTACACTGGATTGAGAACTGCAATATAGGTTTCCTAGAAGCATCTAAGAAAATTTGTAAGCTCTAAAGTTTCGCTCTCAGAAAATGTTGATTTTCTCAACGTCTCCTCCTTACTATGAAAAAATGCATCTGATACATTTTGTGAAATATGTTTTAAGCTCATGAGAAAGCCTGATGAATAATTTGGATTTCCTGAGGTTCAAAAATTTGATTATCAAGTCCTTGAGCTGTAATCATGTTTTTGATCGATTAGACAGGTCCGGTAAGGTATGAACGCGTGCGGTTAAAAGTCCGACATTTGTCTATGTGCTAAACTTTTAACAAAGATTCACGTGGGTAAAAAAATTTCCTCAAAAATGCTACAAAAAACTCTTTTTAATCCTTCAATGTAGCCACATTCGCAACTAGGATTGGTTGTATTCAATGCAAATCGCGATTTTTGCTGATCGAAGTTGCGCGCAGAGCCCAAAAGCTTGCTGTTAAGTAACTGAAAATCTGTCTATGGACAAAACTTTTTAAGTAATTTTGCATCGTTGAAATCAATATCCGAATAACTTTACTTCAAACCCAAGGTTTTTTTTAAATAATGTAATCAAAATGCAGGAATCACCGCAGAGAAGTTAATACGGCGCAGAAAAGTAGGCGTATACTGACGAATGGAAGTTGCTCGAAGCATGGAGAAATTCTTGGTTAAAAATTTGATTCTGCGAAACCACATGAGAGGTTGCCTCTACCGCAAAATGACAGAATCACTTCCGAGACTACATGGGAAAATAAATAATAGCACAATTTTCACCTCAGCATCAATACGCGATTTTTAGATCTATACGAGCATGATATTCATTTGCGTCATAAATTTGAGATTGAGATGTACGGAAACCTATGATTTTCCTTCAATTTCGCGTGATACCACATTCCTCCTCCAGAGTTCGGATAGTTGCTCACTCCATCTCCGACTGTTAAACCGTGAGTAAATAAAGAATAACACAATTTTCACCTCAGCATCGCAGAAAGTACGCGATTTTTAGGTCGATGCGATCATGATATTCATTTGCGTCATTAAGAGGTTGTTCCATCTACCATTGAAACTGGGCCCAGAATGAATTTCGCGTGATACCACATTCCTACTCCAGAGTTCGAATAGTTGCTCGCTCCATTTCCGAGCACTAAAAATAAGAGAGTAAAAGGGTTACTTTTTTTTATCTTAATATCGCGAGAAGCACGCGTTATTTCAAGGGAATGCATTGAAACCTGAGAAATGTCGCGCTCTTCATCTCGGTATCGCGGAGAATGCATTATTTTTCATAGATTTTGTCGTTTAAAAAAAAGAGAAATGATGTGATTTTCACCTCGACATCGCGGAAAATACTCGATTTTTATATCGATGCGAACATGATATGCTTACGCGTCAGTAATTTGAATTGGACGGAAATCCATGATTTTCCTTCAATTTCGTGTGATACCACATACTTACCTACACCAGAGTTCGAATAGTTGCTCGCTCCTTTTCCGGCCATTAAAAAGTGAGTAAATGGGTCTCTCTATCTTAAAATCGTGAGAAGCACACGATTTTTCAGCGGATTTATTGGTACCTGAGGAAGTACGCACTCATCGCGGAGAATTCATGATTTTTACAGCGATATTGAGAGAAAAATTGAGGAATTACCAGATAATCACCGCAGGATCGCGGCAAACACGCGATTTTTACAGCAAAAAACTTGCTGAAAAATTACGCGTTATCTCATTCAATATCCAGGCATGGACTCAAATTTTTCGGCAGTTGATTAAGGACGTACATTTTCACACGATTTTCATCTCAGCATCACGCGGAAAATACGCGACTTTCATATCGGTAAGAGCACGATATTCCCATGCGTCTGTAATTTGAGATGCTTGAGAATGCTTTATTTTCTCGTTTTTTTTTTTATTTTTTTTATTACGTAGTATTATTTTTCGTTTTTGAATTATGATGAAAAATTACACATTATTCACTTCATGAGCATAACATTCATACGCGTCAGTAGTTTGAGATTACGGAAACCTATGATTTTCCTTCAATTTCTTGTGATACCACTTACCTACACCGGAGTTCGAATAGTTGCTCGCTCCATTTCCGGCTGTCAATGAGTGAGATATCGCGAGATGCACGCGTTATTTCAAGGGCATTAATCAAAAACTGAGCAAATACGCGCTCATCGGGGAGAATGCTTTATTTTCTCGCTTTTTTTTTATTTTTTTTATTACATAGTATTATTTTTCGTTTTTGAATAATGATGAAAAATTACACATTATTCACTTCATGAGCATAACATTCATACGCGTCAGTAGTTTGAGATGTACGGAAACCTATGATTTTCCTTCAATTTCTTGTGATACCACATACATACACCGGAGTTCGAATAGTTGCTCGCTCCATTTCCGGCTGTCAATGAGTGAGATATCGCGAGAAGCACTCGTTATTTCAAGGGAATTTATTTAAACCTGAAAAATCACGCGGTCATCGCGGAGAATCCATTATTTTCTCGCTTTTTTTTATCGTTTGTAAAGAATGATGAAGTATTACGCATTATTCACCTCGTGAGCATAAAATTCATACGCGTCAGTAGTTCGAGATGTACGGAAACCTATGATTTTCCTTCAATTTCGCGTGATACCACATACCTACTCCGGATTTCGAATAGTTGTGCGCTCTATTTCAGACTCTTTTAAAGTGAGTAATGGCGTGTTTTTTTCTTAATATCACGAGATACACGCGTTATTTTAAAGGAATTTATTTAAGCCTGAGAAATTACGCGCTCTTCATCTCGGTATCGCGGGGAATGCATTATTTTTCCAGCGTTTCTGTGAGAAAGTTGTGTAATTACGTGATCATTACTGCAGAATCGCAGCAAATACGCAATTTTCTTGACAGTTCCCCAGAATGTTGAAAAATTACGAGTTATATCATTCAATATCGCCGCATGCACGCAAAGATCCCGTCGGTTGATCGAGGACATAATAGATAACACAATTTTAACCTCAGCATCGCGGAAAATACGCGATTTTTATATCGATGCGAGCATGATATTCTTTTGCGTCAGTAATTTGAAGTAAGCGGAACCTATGATTTTCCTTCAATTTCGCGTGATACCACATTCCTACTCCAGAGTTCGAATAGTTGCTCGCTCCATTTCCGACTATTAAAATAGAGAAAAAGGGATACTTTTTTTTTTTATCTTAATATCGCGAGAAGCACGCTTTATTTCAAGGGAATTTAGTAAATCCTGGGATAATTCGCGTTCCTCATCTCGGCAACGCAGCAAATGCACTAGGTTTCCAGGGATTTAAAAAAAAAAAAAATATGAAATTGTGCGATAGTCTCCGAAGTTTCGCGGCAAATGCGCCTTTTTTTGTGGAATTTCAGGGTTGACCCAAAAACGGCCCTTATCGATACCCTTCATTTACGCAAAAAATTGTATCCGTAGATATACTTTCAGATTTCTAACGACGCGCATTTGCCCCACGTGCCACTTCGATCGATATAAAACGCGATTTGCGATGAGTTCGACTGACTATAGTTGCGAATGCGGCTGTATTGAAGTAGTAGAAAGAGTTTTCGGAGGATTTTTAAGGAAAACTGTGCTAATCACGTGAATTGATGGCAAAAGTTTTGCATTTAGACCAATTTTCAGACTTCCAACCGCACGCATTCGGATCTTACAGAGCCTGCCAGACCGATGAAAAACACAATTTCAGCTCAAGTCGATAGTCGAATTTCGGAACCTCGGGAAATCAAAATTATTCGTCGGACTTTTTCATGAGCTTGAAATACATCCTAAAGAATGTTTCGGACACTGGGTGTTTTTTTAAGCGAGCGAAATCAGTTGAGAAAATTGAACCCTAAGAGCTCCATGTTTTTACATGCCCCTACTCTTCCTATTCAGGCACTCTAAGCTAAACATACAAGTACGATTGATCCATAACAAAGTCGTAGGACTTGTAGTTGAGAAATTAGCGCGTATTTTTCGCACTAGAAGTAGAGAATTGGGAAAACCGATCAACGCAATTTTAATCAGTCATTGTGCATGAACCAAATACTCGACGAGTGATCGGAATTTTTTTGCATGAACTATACTATCCTTTCCCACAATGTAATTTGAAAGTTTTTAAAAAAGATTCAGCACTAAGGAAAGCATATTTACCTATTCGGAAAGCATAAATATTGAGAAAATGTGTCTTGCGTTCTTTCGCAATGACTCGTCTTTTTAACACTGTGCCAATGTTTATCAACCAATATAAATGGAAATTGATAAATGGAAATTTTTAGCGTTCTTTTCATTTTTGATCTCCAAACAAGGGAAAACTCAGTTTGAGTTTTCAAGATAATAGGGACCGAATGGAGCGCGGGTGAGCGCGAAGAGGGTGGGGGCTGGGGGTAGTGGGGGTGGCCCCCAGGGAAAGCGCTTTTGGAAAAATAAAAGTTATTCCAAAAAAAAGTCTTTTTTTGACCCAGAGAAGCGACTTCTTCAATATTCGAATTTAATCTTGGGACAGACTGGGACACCCTGTACATATCACTACGTTCACAGTCGTTCGAATTTTCTTTTGTTCTAGCCGGGAAATGGAGGATACTGCGACTCTAAGTCTGCACACTTACATTTGCTCACCGTCCTACACGTGTCGACCAACGTTCCCAGGAGATGAAGTCTCCGACGTGTATCGGGAAACGAGTCCACCGCGTGCTGATCCAGAGGCTGGTCATGCAGTCTTCCTGAAGCAAGAGCCTTGCCCATTAGATCAGTTCAATGAGGAATTAAGCAGTCACTCGGCAGATTCCACGCCAAGTCTCCAGGGGCACGAAGATGGTCTTTGTTTACCAGGAAATAGCTGCTCACAAGGTCAGATCCAAACAAATTTTCCTATCGCTCTAATTAGTCAAATAAAAGAGGAGGTGAACGACGAAGACAATTTATTTAATCTTTCGAACTCGAGCGATAGAATTGGAAACGAGTCGGTCGAGGCTGAGCGAATCTGTCAAGAGGCGATCTTACCAGAAGGAACCGTACTTAATTCAGATGGATTTTATCGCGTAAGCAAGGAAGAAGTCCCAGATGAAGTGGAAGAGCTTGGGCACACCGTGTCAAAAAGCTGCGTCGTGGTGCTTTGTAAACTGCCGTCTGGAGTCAAGAGAAATAGTTTCGTCGTGGAATCTGAATATGGTGTATGGGACTTCGTGGACAGAGTCGGTAACAGAATCCACCGTTTCGATTCCTTTTCGCCGGAAAGTCGGAGAGCCATACACGGCCGGGTGCGCAACCAGTTTGGCAATGTTGAAACGTTTTCAATTAATATTTGGGACCCAGCTCTGAGGAAGTATAATACATTGTTTGACAAACGACGAACCCTCCCACCCAGCAGGAATTTGGAACATAACACCGGGAAATATTGTCCTTCCTCTGCCTTTAATTGCAATCTTTGTGAGGCCACTTTCGGAAGTGGAGTTCATTTAAAAGTTCACATGCGTAGGAGGCATACTGGTAAAAGATCTTTTACTTGCAGTTATTGTCCGGCATCTTTCAGTGTAAAGGTCAATTGGCAATATCATGAGCGGACGCATAGAGAAAATAGACGGATATTTGTTTGCAAAAGGTGCAAGGTGTCATACTGCCAGGCAAGTCATTTGATGAAGCACATGTTTACTCATCACGGCGAAAAACCTTTCAAGTGCGGCCGTTGCTCAGCCACCTTTGCAGACAATGACCATCTTTTAGGACATATTAGGACGACGCACACAGAAGAGAGTCAGGTTTGTGGCAAGGAGTCGCAGGTGTCTATATCTGCGGAAGTAGATTTGACAAATCCTATGCGTACGCTCATCAGTGATGAACTTTTTAATTGCAATTTTTGTGCAGCTACATTCGAAAATGAACCTAATTTAAGGTCTCACATGCTCAGCAAGCATATTGGTAAGAAACCACAAAATAGACGGACATTTGTTTGCACAAGGTGTAACATGACATTCTGTAATTATGATGGTTATAAACCTTTTACTTGCAGTTATTGTCCAGCCTCTTTCTTTGAGAAGATCACCCGGGAACATCATGAGCGGACGCATAGAGAAAATAAACGGATATTTGTTTGCAAAAGGTGTAAGATGACATTCTGCCTTTCAGCTCAATTGATAAAGCACACGGTCACTCATCACAGTGAACAAAAGTTCAAGTGCAGCTACTGTTCTGCCTCCTTTGAACACAGTGGTCATCTTGAAAGACATATGACAACGCACACAGGAGAGAGGCAGGTTTGTGGCAGGGAGTCGCAGAAGTCCATATCTGCGGCGAATTTGGCGAATCCTATGCGTACGCTTAACAGTTATAAACCTTTAAATTGCAATCTTTGTGCAGCCGCATTCGAAAATGAAGCTAATTTAAGGTCTCACATGTGCGAGAGGCATCCTGGTAAACAACTTTTTACTTGCAGATATTGTCCAGCCTCTTTCAATTTGAAGCACTGTTGGAAAAAACATCTACGCACGCATAGAGAGAAGAAGCGGATATTTATTTGCAAAGAGTGTAAGATGTCATTCTGCCGTCCAGCTCATTTGGAAAAGCACATGCTTACTCATCGCGGTGGAAAACCTTACAAGTGCAACCACTGCGCAGCCTCCTTTGCAAACAATGGTCTTCTTGGAAGACATATGATGACACACACAGTAGAGAAGCAGGTTTTTGTCAGTGAGTCGCAGAACTCAGTAGTCACGGAAGCAAATTCACTGAATCACGCAAGTACGCTCAATAGTGATGAACCATTTAAAGGCAATCTTTGTGAAGCCAATTTTGGAATAAAATTTAATTTGAAACGCCGTGTGCGTTCGCGTACTCGTTTAAAATCTATTAAATGCACTCTTTGTGCAGCCGCATTCGAAAATGAAGCTAATTTAAGGTCCCACATGTGTAAGAGGCATCCTGGTAAACCACTTTTTACTTGCAGATATTGTCCAGCCTCCTTTAATTGGAAGCACTGTTGGAAAGAACATCTACGCACACATAGAGAGAATAAACGGATATTTATTTGCAAAGAGTGTAAGATGTCATTCTGCCGTCCAGCTCATTTGAAAAAGCACATGCTCACTCATTGCGGTGGAAAACCTTTCAAGTGCAACCATTGCGGAGCCGCCTTTGAAGACAATGGTCTTCTTGGAAGACATATGATGACACACACAGGAGAGAAGCAGGATTTTGGCAGTGATTCGCAGAACTCAGTATCCACGGCAGTAAATTCAGTGGATCGCGTAAGTGCTCCCAAGAGTGATAAACCATTTAAATGCAACGTTTGTAAAGCCAATTTCGCATCTAAATTTAATTTGGAACGTCATATGGTTGTGCATACTAATGAAATATCTTTTACATGCAATCTTTGTGGAGACGTATTCGGATCTGAACGTTATCTGAACGCTCACATGAGTAGGTGGCATACTGGTTTTAAACCGCACACAGAAGAGGAGCAGGCTTCTGGCAGTGAATCGGAGAACTCAGTATCCACGGAAGTAAGTTCAGTGAATCCTGTACGCACGCTCAACAATGATCAATGTCTTAGTTGCAAGTTTTGTGGAGCCGACTTCAAACGCAGATGTGACTTTGATACTCACATACATAAGCATACTAGAGAAAAATCTTTTGCGTGCAGTTATTGTCCAGCCTCCTTCTTCAATAATGCCAGGTTTATCAGTCATGAGCGGTCACATAGAGAAAACAGACAGTCATTTATTTGCAAATGGTGTAAGATGTCATTCCACTATTCAGCTCGTTTGGTAAAGCACACGCTCGCTCATCACAGCGAACAAAAGTTTAAGTGCAGCTACTGCTCGGCCTCTTTCGCATACAATGGTCATCTTGAAAGACATATTATGACGACGCACACAGAAAAAAAGCTGAGACGTGGCAGTGAGACGCAGAAGTCCTTACGCGAAGAAGAACAATCCATGAGTCACACGCGTTCGCACGATGAAAAATATTTTAATAGCAGTGATTGTCGAAACTCGTCCAGTCGGAAGAGCGGTCTCGAAGCTCCTCTTCAGACACAATGGCAAACGGCAAACGAAACGAAATTTGAAAAAAGAGGAGTGTACGCTTGCGATTTGTGTCCGATGACATACTGCTACCCAAGTTATTTGGTGAACCACTTGCGCACCCATCTCGGTGAAAGATCTCACAAGTGTAGCCACTGCCCAGCCGCTTTCGCAAGCAGTAGTGATCTTGAAAGACATGTAATGACCCACCAAAAGGAGGAACGGGTTGCGTGCAGTAAAACCCGGGAGTCGTCGTCCGAAGTAGCACAATCGGCTAGTCATAGTGAAATGCAGGAGTCATCGTTCGAAGGAGCACAATCGACTAGTCACAGCGAAATTCGGCAATCGGCTAGTCACAGTAAAATTCGGCAATCGGCCAGTCAAAATGAAATCCGGGAGTCGTCGTTCAAAGGAGCGCAATCGGCTAGTCACAGTGAAATTCGGCAATCGGCTGGTCAAAATGAAATCCGGGAGTCGTCGTTCGAAGGAGCACAATCGGCTAGTCACAGTGAAATTCGGCAATCGGCTAGTCAAAATGAAATCCGAGAGTCGTCATTCGAAGGAGCACAATCGGCTAGTCACAGTGAAATTCGGCAATCGGCCAGTCAAAATGAAATCCGGGAGTCGGCGCTCGAAGGAGCACAATCGGCTAGTCGCATGCGTACGCAGAAGGATGGAAATCAACTAAAATGCCGTTACTGTCCAGCTACATTCTCGCTTCCAAAATATCTCTCAAGACATATTTTAAGTCATAATTTTGGCAAAAAACCTTTTCCTACCGGTTGCACCTCACCCTCTTCTGCGCATACGAAACAACTCTCAACGCACCCTAGCCCTCGTGAGGAACGGTTCTCTTGCGAAGGCACACCGGTGAAACCCCTTTAGGGGTTACACGGAAAAAAAAATCGCTGATTCAACAATTCAACTGCTAAAAACAGTGAGTGCAATGTTTCAACGCAGATTTTACAACAAAAAAATGCTACATTAACCACCCCCGTGGTTAAATTAGTTTACAATGTGGTTAAAGTAGCATTTTTTTGTTGTAAAATTTGCGGTGAAACATTGCACTCACTGTTTTTAGCAATTGAATTGTTGAATCAGCAATCTTTTTTTTCCGTGTATCTTTTATTGACCGGCGGTGCCACCGATCACCAAACTGCGTTCTCTAACTCACCGGTCGGTGCTGACGTCACGACCGGGAGCGCCACCGCCGGTGGATTTGGTACCATCGATCTACCGCTCGGAGCACCGGAAAAATCTCCGGTACTTTCAATTCACCGGTCCACCGGTTGACAATCTAACCCCACTTCAGCCTAATTTCAGGCCAAAAATAAAACAAACAAACGAGAAAACGTGGGGATTTCGCGCCCCCCGACGCTGCTGAGTCTGATGATTCTGCATCGTCACATTCGTCACTGTCGCCTATGTAATATTCAGGTTTTTTTCATGTAATTTTTCCTCGTACTTTAATGGAGATGTTGCATGTGTGAGGAATTTGCGATTTGACCATTGATAGTAAAGTTCATAAAAGTACATAAAAGTACATAAAAGTTCGCGAGAAACACGCTGGTGCCACTGGTTTCCTCTGAAATCAACTCCCAAGATCAAAAAAAGCTCTCAAGTTGAGGCCAAAATGGAGGGAATTTCCCACCCTACCCTGAGAGTCCACCTCTACATCAAAACAAACTCTCCATGCAAAGATAGGGAGCAAATACATTAGCAGGGTTGCCGTGTTTTCAGTTGTGGAGTCCCCAAATAAAGTGGCAGCGCTGTCAATGTATTTGCTCCCTATCTTTGCATGGAGAGTTTGTTTTGATGTATAGGTGGACTCTCAGGGTAGGGCGGGATATCCCCTCCATTTTGGCCTCACTTTGAGAGCTTTTTTTGAGCTTGGGAGATGACTTCAGAAAAAACCAGTGGCACCATCGTGTTTCTCGCAAACTTTTGCATAAGAATCAATGGTCAAATCGCAAATCCCTCACACATGCAACATCTCCATTGTGGCAAAAAAGGAGTAAATGCTGGTACATTGAGAATATATGTACACTATTACAGTATCAATGAGGTGAATGTTTGAAGAGAGGAAGAAATCCATTTGTTTACATCGGTGGAGAGTGCGTTCTTAGACGCCCGACTGATCGCGGGCAGTTTCGTACCAAAATGGCGATCGGTGGAATTCAGAAAAAGAAAACCCCTTTTTACTCTCTACCACAAGTAAAAAGGGATTTTCTTTTTCTGATGGGTGGAACCACCGGTGGAATCCAACCAATCGCCATTTTGGCACGAAATTGCCCGCGATCAGCCGGGAGTCTAAGAACGCACTTTCCACCAATGTAAACAAATGGATTTCTTCCTCTCTTCAAACATTTACACATCAGAAATGTTAAACATCCAACCTATACTGCATAATCTGCGTACCTAGCATTTTTGTATCTTGATTTCCAAAATTACTGTGCCCATGGGCAATATCTCAGTCGTTTTTTTTTCTTTTTTTAATGGTAGTAATAAAAGGCTGCTCAACCTAATGAAGAGTCAATGTACCTATTTATAATAATATGTAATTGTAGCGTTGAATCTTAATTTCGTATGATCTCTGAATTTGTGCCTTTTCCAATAATGAAACCAATTAAATTTTACACATTATGTGGTATGAATGGACTGCATTTTACGATAAGGGACTACAACCTCAGGCTCATCTATGAAACCGCCTATCTGCACGGAAACTCCAATAGCACTTACGTAGTCCCTACTTTAGTCCGTATGATATTATGTGGAGCAGGTTTCTAAGTGCACGCAACGTGGAAACATACAGCTAGGCTCCAAAAATTTAATGCGGAATCTTGTATTAATTATCTCTTGTGTAAATAAGTTGTACAGAAATTGGACTGCATTTTGCAATTTGGAACTATAAGATCTGGCCCGGTTTAAAAACAACGTATGTGCCATTAATTTCCCTATGCACATGATTGTTTTTTCAGATGAGCCAGAATTTATAGTTCCAAATTGCAAAATGCAGTCCAATTGAAACTTAGCAATCGAGATGCGCGTTTTTCTCGATCCACGCTCGACGCAGTGGCAATTTTGCGAGTTGGCAACACTGTTAGTTTTCCTCCATTTAAATCCATTTAAAATATCGATTTTGAGCGAGGCAAGCAAGAATCGACTGTTTCTCATACATTTCAATGGAGGAAGAACAGTGCTGCCAACGTTCAAGAATCGCCGCTGACTCGACGTGTGCTTTCCCTGTAGAGCCGTTTTCTGCCGTATAGTTAGGTTCAGTCAACACGTTAAGTTTGAATAGGTTAGTCAATTTGTATAGTATCATTAAGAAATTTGTTGAATCCTGAGCATTGTTTGTAAAGGATGTGATATAATTTGTCAAGTACCTTCCAAAAAATATGGTTTATGTAACTTCTAAGGCAATAAAAACATGAAAATTGCAGATTGAATTGACTTCTCCTTCATCTAGTGCCTCAATGTTAGCTTGTATTTCATCGTCTTGCGTTTCCTATTATGCGCATAGAGTGTCCCGAAATGAAGATTAACGCTTTAATTATAGAAACTACGCAAATGATCGAGTTGATCTCGGTCTTATTCGACAGAAGACGTAAAAAGTCGACAATAGAAGTCAAGATATTATTCAAGATATCAAGGCAAGATCGTATTTGAACAATTAATAGATAGTAATTTTTTGACATCACAATAATTTGTACCATTTTTGTCCGAATAAGTCGATTTTTTTTTTTTTTTTTTTTTTTTTTTTTTTTTTTTTTTTTTTTTTTAACTCCCTCCGCACGAAAACAAGATCAACTCGATAAGTTGCCTCGTTTTTTTAAATTGAAGTGCTTGGTTATGTCATCTTGGGACAGTTCATGCAATATGCATGGTAGCATGCCCCCCTCCCCTCGGGTCATAGAAGGAAATAGAGGGAGAGGAAAAAGGTGCTCCTAATTTAGTGAAATGGTTTTAAGAAAGAGTTATTTAACCAAACTTACCAAACCAAAGGCTACTCAACATTGCAGAAATAAATAGTTTATACCCGAAAAGAAAATTAGGCTAAGAGGGGTACTATTCTTCAATTTTCAATTTTACAAAAGTGCAAATATTGAACGCTGAAACTGCTTGAATTTCAATCTAGGAGGGGCTATTTTTGATCAAATTTTCCAGGAGAGGCCACCGGGCCCCCTTACTCTGGGAGGTATGCCCCCCCCCCCCCCCCCCCCCCCCC